AAAAAAAAAAAAAAAAAAAAAAAAAAAAGAAATACTGTAACACACCCAGTATTTCCATAAAGAATGCCATATGAACATCTCAGGAAAATCATAATGTTCCACGTTATAAAAGAATCTTTTCTGTCTGTCAAGTGTATACAGAAGATCAAAAAATTGAAAAAAATGGAAGAAATATACAAGAAAATTATTTCAATTGCTTTTTACTTCCTGTTCCTAAAATACCACTGTACCTACAAATATGTTCAGCATCTCTGTTATTATAAAAAGTATAAGTGGCAGGAACTTAAACTACAGGCTTATCTATGTATACTCTATCACGTTAAAAGTCAAGTACTTAATTTGATCAGAATCTAACAAAATACTAATCTATTAAAAATAAATAATTTATCCTTTAAAAAAAGAAACTCCAATCTGAAATTATATGGCAGTTTGCCTATGCATATCCATCACTTCTTCCCACCAGCTCCCTAAACCAAGACTTGTGAGAAACACCAATAGTTAAAGGGTGTGGGAATGGAGCACCTTTATGACCTCTCCTAACTCTCCTCACCCCACCCAAGTGAGGTGACTGGTAAAAAGTGTGTAGCCCACCAGGAAGTGTTTTGGCCATAATTTCCCTTCATACTTGGCAGAGTAAATATGTTAAATAAAGTATATTAATGGTGATTTGAATAATAATACTGGTACCAAAGTCCTACATATCAACTAATTCCTCAGCAAACTCTTGGTTTCCTACTTGATAGAGAAACCTATTTTGTGAAGTTATTTGCTTTGTCTTGATTCCAAAAATTGAATCGTATTTGCCTTTTCTGTAGTTTGATTTTTACTCTTGTTTTTCTCATGTATGAGAAGAGGCCAGGATTTATTCTTGACAATAAACAGCCTTTGTCGTGATTTAGCTTCTGGCAGAAATGAAGATGGAGAAGGATTTCTTTCCTGTTGGGAGAGAAATTGCTGGAATTGTGTTAGATGGTAAGTGTACAGATATAAATATCTGTATTTATTTTCTAATGTCCTTTTTGTGATGTTTACAAACCAGCGTAAATTACTTGTATAAGTTGGTTTTGGACCAAAATTTATTTATTAGTCAGTAATTACTTTCACATTAAATTTTTAGTTTGCCTAAAATTGAGCATTTGAAAGTTAAGTGGTTTGCTCATTCAAAAATGTATTCAGAAGAGAAATAACCAGTAAGATTTTATGATTGCCTTAAATAAAAAAAAAATTTAAGTTTTATTTAGTAAATAACGGTCTTAACATGCAGGACAGTAGGCCTAAGTATTTGAAATAATTTGTTTCTAAATAGACCTCCTGTTCGTAGACACTGCTGATAGGTAGTTCGCGATCAATCAGTATGTGGTTACTCTTTCTGTATATGTGAATGAATGAACGAGTGTGTAATGTGGGTTAGACTATTTGAGTTTTACTTGTGATTTTGGTCTGTAATATACATACTCTTTCTCAATGTAATCTTCTGACATAGCTAAATCATAATTCCATTCCCTCTCCTTTCTTCTGCTCAGAATGTAGGAAAATAAAAATAAGAATTGTAATAGCCAGAAGATGATCTATCAGTCATTCACTCATTCGTTCATTTATTTCATATTTAATGAGCACTTGCTAAGTGAGTGGGATTTGAAGATAAGACAAAGTCCCTGCCTTCAAAGGGTTCACAGAGGAGAAACAGATACACACATGTGAGCAGATTGTTAGGAAAGCTCTAAGGAGAGCTGTCCAACCCAGCCAGAAGGAACAGGAGAGTCTTCTTGGAGTAAGTTAGTCAGACAGTAAGGGGCGGGCGGGAGGAGAATCACATTCAGCAGAGAGGGTATCATGAGCAAAGACAGAGAAGCAAGTAGTAATGTGATGTACGTAACAATTACAGAGTTTGGTGTTGCTGGAGCAAAATAAAGTTCTGGGCAGGAGTCGGAGGCAAGAGAGTTGGCAGCAGAGGAACATTTTATCAAAAGAATTGTCCTTCAAATATAGCAGAATAAAAGATAATGAACAAATATTTTAATGATGATATGAACACTGATTCCTTCCCCCAAAAAATGAGTCAGGACTGTAGGCAAAGACCAGAGCTATAATGAGCCTCGTGTCACATTGGGTTTTAGGGAGATTTTTATTTTTTTTTTTAATTTTTTTTTTAATTTTTATTTATTTATTTTTCCCCCAAAGCCCCAGTAGACAGTTGTATGCCACAGCTGCACATCCCTCCAGCTGCTGTATGTGGGACGCGGCCCCAGCGTGGCCGGAGAAGCGGTGCGTTGGTGCGCGCCCAGGATCCGAACCCCGGGCCGCCGGCAGCGGAGCGCGCGCACTTAACCACTAAGCCACAGGGCCGGCCCTAGGGAGATTTTTAGAGTGGGGCCATATGAAGGGTAATTTTGAGACAAATCAGACTCGTTGGGTTGTAGACCAACAGGCAGGAGACAACAAAGTCCATATCTTGGACGGTGGTGACAGAGGTGGAAAAGGGGAACATATTCAAGAAATACTGAGGAAATAAAGTCAACAGGAGTTAATAATTGACTGGAACAGGGGAATTAAGAAACAGGTAAGAGCCAGGAGTGTTGCAGGATTCCGGTTAAAGTCTGAATTGGTGCTACCCATTGATAAAGGAAGAGGATCCGATTTGGAGGAAGATAGTGAGTTTAGGCTTATACTCGTTGAGTTCAAGGAACCTAAGTGACATCTCACTGGAGATGTCCATCTAATAGATAAGCAGTCATGTGACTTTAAGCTCAAAGGTGAGAGATTAGGCTGGAAATGTGTATATTTGAGCATTGTCAGCATGTAGGTTGTATTTGAAATCATGGAGTTGATGAGCTCACTCAGGGAGAGAGTAGAAATGGAGGAGAGAACTAAGCTACTATTCCTTTTTTTTTTTTTTTTGTGAGGAAGATCAGCCCTGAGCTAACATCCGTGCTAATCCTCCTCTTTTTGCTGAGGAAGACCGGCTCTGAGCTAACATCTATTGCCAATCCTCCTCCTTTTTTTTTCCCCAAGCCCCAGTAGATAGTTGTATGTCATAGCTGCACATCCTTCTAGTTGCTGTATGTGGGACGCGGCCTCAGCATGGCTGGAGAAGCGGTGCATCGGTGCACACACAGGATCCGAACCCGGGCTGCCAGTAGCGGAGCGCGCGCACTTAACCGCTAAGCCACAGGGCCAGCCCCATAGCTACTATTCAAGGGCCAATTAAAAGGAGTGTGAAGGAAGCCAAAATAAAGGATCAGAGTGATCCCAGGAGGACGAGGACCAGCAGCAGAAGGGAAAGAGAAAAGTGCAGTGGATCAGAAGCCAGAAATATTGGGGGATGATGGCACAGGAGGGATCCAAAGAAGAAGCAGACTGTAAGAGGAGGACTTGAAAGTAGGAATGGCACACTTGGAGTTACCTGCTGAGTACCAACAAATGAGTTCTGGGGCTATTTTGCTGACAGGGCCAGCCAAAGAAGCCACCTCTAGATTTCAGGCTTCCACCTTACCTCACTGCTTCACCCAGTTTCCTTGTCTATTACTAGGAATAATAATACCAACCCATGGGTATGCCAAGAAGATTAAATGTGATAACACACTAAAATGCTGGGCACAAGTAGACATTCAGTGATGTTTCGTTTTTCCCTCCCCTTTCCTCTTGTAACTATTTGAATAAAAATATTCTAAAGAATTTATTGACAGTAGAGGCTTTTTCTCTGCATGTGCAGAGAAAATGTAACTATCATTTCTATATAGTTCCAAAAAATTTCTTGGCACCAGTCTGAATTTATTTCCATAATTCCAAATCAAAGTAATTTTATTTGTGACTCTTAACAGAATTCCCCATTGTGTGTCTGACATTCTGCAACTAAAATAATGATAGAAGATTGGGCTAGCCACAGGAGGGATGGAAAGCAGCGTATCGTCATAGGAGCTGTGCAGTGGATTGTTTGCCTTTTTCCTTCATCCTTAGCTAAATAGAGAGACATCATTCTCTGTGGCATCAACAGTCACCTGGCCCAGATTTTGTAGAGAATTTTGTAGAGAATCCAGATTTGAAGTGTTCAATCCTATAATCTTTATAGACTATCAAAATGTCTTAGAAGTTCTTGGTCTTTTCTCTGAGTCAGTGACTTTTTATAAACCCATGGATCTTTTGATTTATTTTACTAGTCAAATAAGAATTATATTTAATAACTCCTAGTACTAATTATTATTTTTCTCCACTCTTTAGTTGGAAGCAAGGTATCATTCTTTCAACCAGATGATGAAGTAGTTGGTAAGTTATATTATAGTTCATGGTCCTATTTCAAGTAATCTATTTTACTGTCATCTCTTCTTTTTTCTAGACAATTGTTAATGTTTATTGTGACTTCTCTTCATATACAACTACTTGCCTGACTTTTGGAATTTGTTCTCAAATATCCATTGATGAAGAGAATTGGGAGTTTGAGCTCAATAGCAGAACATTGAAAATTTTTCAGTATTTGACTATAGAACAATATTAGAGATAGGAAGATGACCATAGTTATTACTGTGCTTGGTGCAGCCCTTTCCTGACAGGACCCCAGTCGATGGCTAGACTGAAGACTCTAGAGAAAAGAAAAGTCACAGGTTGTCTGCTTGAAGACTACTGACTGACTTGGTTATATGGAAGCTCCACTCTCCACATCTGACTTGAATTTTCTAGAGCTTCTGCCTTACTACTCTTGTAAAACTAAAAGTTTACTTAATAAACATTTAATTTATTGTTTTTTTTAAAAAATCCATAGTTAATACTTTTTGCAAATATATATATTTATACTTATATCCTAGACGGTCACACAAACATATAAAATATGACCTGAGTAGTAGTCTTTGAAATTACCTGTGAAAATATTCATAGGAAGATATTCATATAAACTTAGACGATGTTTAACTTTATGACATACTTGAAGCTGTGAATAGATTTGTAGGAAGGCTTTCATCAGCTTTTTATGGTATTGCCTTTGACTTGTGTATTTTCTCAGAGGGTTTATTATTTCTGTCTTCCTTATCTTTTTTATCTGGCCAAGAAGTCAATGACACTGTGTTATCCAAGATTCTTTTTGTAAGAGACCAAAAATAAAATCAGACTAGCTTAGGAAAAAATGGGATTTTATTGGACACATACTGAGGTATCTTATAGGACCAAATTGTGGGAAGGTAGCTATGCATCAGGGACAATGTTAATGAGGAACCCAGGTGCCGTTAAGACTCTAACTTGGCTGTCTACATCAGCCATCATCTTTACCATCACTCAGAGGTGAAAGAAGAGGGTGAAAAAGAGAGTACAGATGATACAGTGTTCATGTCAGAAAATAAACTATCCACTTCCCTTCCGTATTTCTGAGGTCTCTCCTTTCCCGACACCAGTAGTTACTAGAATCTTCCTCAAAATTCCACTGAACAAAATTTAGGCTAGTCCTTACTGGCATCTCATTAGGAATGAATTCATTTGGGATTGTTTCCCTTAAGCTTCTCATTTTAATTTTCAGGAATTTTACCCCTGGACTCTGAGGACCCTGGACTTTGTGAAGTCGTTAGAGTACATGAGCATTACTTGGGTATGTGGTGGTTCAGTCTCTTGGAGCTCATATGAGTCTTTCTTCACTGACGTGTGGTCTTTAGTAACATTTTGATTGCTTTGCATCTACCGAGTGTACATGAGGCTGGTCATTTGAATACTTCTAGCTCATATTTAGTATCTGATAAATTCATATTCAGACTAAACAGTATATAGACCTTTAGGTTTCACTTACTGCTCATGGTAAGAGGTTTGAAGAGCAGTTTCTCCCTTGGCTCTGAAATTATATCCCTAATCAGAATTTTTTTACTTCTTATTCTTCATTATTAATTGAAATAAAAAATGTATAAAATCTAGGGGCCGGCCCCACGGCATAGTGGTTGAGTTTGGTGCATTCTGCTTCGGTGGCCCAGGTTCATGGGTTCAGATCCTGGGCGCGAACCTACATCACTTGTCATGTAAAGTAGAGGAAGACTGGCCCAGATATTAGCTCAGGGCTAATATTTCTCAAGACAAAAATGAGGAGGATTGGCAACAGATGTTAGCTCAGGGCTAATCTTCCTCAGCAAA